CGTCACTAAAGGTACGTTCAAACTCTGCGAAGCAGAAAAAAACCCAACGTATCAACTTATGCTTGCGTTTGTTCTAAACGTTGCCGATTTTTGTGCGTGTTATTTTTGGCAGATTTTATGCTTACAATGAGAATTCGTAATATTAATATTATTGGCTTTCATCAACTAATTTGCTGTTTCGTTAGTTGGTGATACTTCTCTGTCTATTTTCTGATGATGAATGTCAAAACGGATATCTCGGAACAAAGGCTTTAAAAAAAACAACGTTAGTAAGCATTGCTTTTACAGTATTCCGACAGTTAAAAGAATGAAAAGTATGAAACTGAAGTGTTCAAATTCGATACAAAGCCGGCATTTTATTGTTCTCAGACTGTATGTTCTTGGTTCACAGCTGTGCACCTATTGCAGTACGGTATCTAAAATTCTTTGATTTTTTCTTCATATCGCCTGAAATCACCTTCACCCTCGTCTCCAAAGATCGTGTAGATCAGAGTTTATGTAGCTTTCTTAGTCTTAAAAGATTTTGCGTTTATGATGATTTTCATCTTATTTAGGGCCTCTAGTTGTATTATTTATATAGTGAAACCAGCCAATCCTTTCTTCTTTAATTGCCAATATCTCGATTTCTATTCAAGATTTATGGACATTTTGTCATAAAAAACAAGATAAATAAACAAGCTATTAGATGATACCAATAATTCCAAATGCCCGAACACTGACGAGTGCTTGATTCTTCCGCAGAGTTTTACAGTATTACTGTAAACTCTATGATTCCACCAGAGAGGGTTTACATTAACACTGTAAACTCCTTGATTCCACTATGTAATGACACACACACACACACACACACACACACACACACACACACACACACACACACACACACACAAACACTCACACGCTTGTATATATTATGTAGGTAGGTCAGGGGCGAAGCGTCTATATAATCAAATAATCACTGCTTCCCTTCCTAATTTTGAAACATTGTCGCTGTCAAATTCATTCTTAAACGTAAACCTCTTTAATTAAATGTAAAAAGACGTTCGTAATCAACAATGAACAGTATGCCTAACATTCAAAACGGTTTCACGGCCTCAGAAATAGCCTCCTCACCCCTCTCGGGCCACTCCATAAGCAGTCGCAAGCTTTGATTGAGTAAGCTTAAAGTGAGTCTGGAAGAGTCTACCAATAGATTTGAAGGGAACATGTACATAGCAGTCCAAGCTGTTTCATTGCCACATATACCCTGTTCACCCCTTTGGGGCCACAGTTAAAATCAATCTCAAGCCCTGATTATGTATGCTAACTAAAGCTGGTCGAGTCTACCTCACAAATGCGAGGGGAACTAACTCCTAATAATCTCTTGACTGCTGCGTGTGCTTGTTTTTTTTCCTCGACTTTTTACCGTCCTATTATCAGATCGTGACCTCGATTATGACACCAGCTCCTGGCCGCGAAAGGCTAACAAAAACAGCCAAATGTGAAATTTAAAAAATGATAATTGTCATGTTCTACCAAATAGTTAGACTTACTGGTAGATCTATAACATATAGATCTAGTACTGACATCTCTGTTTCTTTGCTTTGTGTTTATGTATTCACATCAAAAGTTAAATTTAGTTTTAGTTGGAACTGATATTTAATAAGATACTTTCTCGATTATTTTGGCGGTTGAACATACAATATGAATTCCGGATTTGTTTTCATTCACAACTCAGAGTCGCCGCCTCGAGTAAGATTCTTGTGTGATATCTACAGGCCATATCTGATCCCGTTTCACTTTGATTACCCTGTCAAACAAGTCAGCCTTCGCCCCTGAGGTAGGTAGGTAGGTAGGTAGGTATATATATTATATATATATATATATATATTATATTCATGTACATGCTTTTATGAACTTGAGGAGCAATGTCCATATGGGTGCTAGGCTAGCATGGTAAACTTTTGGAATAAAACAGTATGTTGTTCCTTAAACTTAATGCTCTTTTGAGCTCTCGTTGGCCCTTCAGAAACAGTCTCTATAATACATATGTAATATCAAAGATAGTGAATAACAAGATGGGCCACTCAGCCAAAAAAGTGTCCGCAGGAAGTATGCTTTGCTTCAGATGGCGCTGCAGTCTGTTTTGAAGCTCTCTTTCGTTTTTCCAGAAGAAGAATAGAAATAGCACCTTCTTTAAGTTTCGCCAACTATGGAGTGGAAATAATAACGATGATGATGATGAAGACGATGATGAAAATAATAATAATAATAATAATAATAATAATAATAATAATAATACATGTGTTCGTGCTGCTCAAGACAGTCTCATTCTTAATTTTGTAAGCTACACAGAGGCCAATTTGGCAATTAAGGGATGTTCTATTCCCTCTGTAGACTGTCGATGGATTTGCCCAGCGGACTGACGTCATCGCTGAGCAAGCCGTGTTCGGTTTGTCCTCGTACGAAGTTCTGCGACGTGACAGGAGACGATTTAACTGTAACAGTTGTGAGCCGGCGTGATAAACAAACGCGACAAAACAGCTGTGAATCACTTGTCTATTTGAACGCCTTCAAATCGGCAAGGCGCTTTTTGACTGTTGATAAGGCCTACATGTTTGTTTGGATTTACTTAACACTGAATGAAAATCATCATCAGCAATAAATCTCTAGTCAACTGTCCAGTTGACAAACCGCCTCTGGGGACGACACTTATCTCCTCTTGAGTATTTCGATGACAACAGTAGAATAAAAATGTAAAATTGATAATACTGCTCCTGAACCCCTCCCCATTTTCAGGTCAACAAAACAAGACAAAAATTGTATATTCGAGAAGGAAAGTTACCAACACTGCTTTCTATGGCGGATGGCGACGCCCCGATCGTGTGTCAGCGGGGTGGTCGGGTGGGGCGAGGGCTGGGCGTTCTGAGTCTGAGATTTATTTCTCTCTTTGTGCCTGTATGGTATGGGTCTGTGGTGGCGGCAAGCAGGTTATACTGTAAGCGGTGTGCGTTTCTCGCGTCATTTCCACTTTGTGAAAGGCTCTCTGTTCCGGGGAGAAACTTAATCGCCACTTCCCTTCCACCACAACCCCCCCCCCCCCCCCCACGCTTCCTCCGCCCCTTGGAGTAACTATTATTAGGAGAGGCCGCGAGTCGCGTAACGTGAAGCCGCTTCAGACGACTGTCGGCCATGTTTGTGAGATCAGCTCAGTTCTCTCCGTTGTAAACTTACTGTCAACCGAATGGCAGTTTGCGTAGCGTTCGGGTCCGGTGGGCCTCTCATTCAAAGGTCCCGGGTTCGAATCCGAGTAGTGACGGGAAAAATGTTATTCTCTAAATTTCTACTTTCTCTTTCGTCTGCTATCGTCTCCACTTTCTGCCCCTACCTCCTCAGGGCTTCACACTCTTTCTGCAGCCTTTCTACTGCTACTCCTTGGCTCCTTCTTACTTCTGTCTTTCAGCCACACTCCTGATCTTCTGGTAGGAAAGATCTACCCCTAGCCTTCTCGGACAAGGGCGAAAAATCTCGGAGGCTCGACAGAGGTTGCGTATGCAAGTTGCGCAAATTAAAGGTCCTTTAGTGGTCTAAAATCGATAAGAGTAGGCTTCGGTCGCCACCCGCGCAAAATTCAAAATTTCCTACCAACTTAAAATGTTTAATGTGTACCTCGCACTCATATGACTTATGCAGTCGCGAGTGCCGTAAAACACTTATAAGGCCTACGAAAAATGTTTTTGATGACGAAGTGCCTTCTGATTTAGCCGTAAATGCACCTCACAGTAAAACAGAACGAAAAAAGATTGCACGTTTGTGCCTAGATCTAGTCTGGCATACTTGTCAATTGACTCTGAGAATACTGTTGCTTAAATGGCTGGTTTTGTGTTGTTAAGGTTGACAAAGCATTTGAAAATGTGAAACCTTCATCGGTGCCTTAGTTGACTCCAGTGTGTCAAATGTAACTTCCTTGCTGTTTTTGAAGTCTCCTCGAAGGTTTGACAGTGCCTTCAAAGAATGTCATTGAAGTGTGTTTGGTGTGTGAATAACATTTCCGATGTCATGTGTCGTCTGTCTGTGCAGGGGGTGTGACATTGTCAAAAGAGAAATGTCACAAATTAGTGCAATCTGTTTTGAAAATCTTCTTATTATAAGCCTATCATTTCAAATTTTCTATTAATTTTTCAATACACTTAACAGTATTTTGTAAAATTTTGATAAAGTGTCTGGGTGTTTTAAAGGTGCCCTTCCCTCCTCGTTTTATTGGGGGGGGGGGCTGTTTTATTCTTTTTTTTTAATTCTTTTTTTTCGGGGGGGGGGGTTAATTTCCACCATCATACTTCACTCTTATCTGCCTTGCCCTCTCCTTCCTCTTTCTTTCGCCCATCCTATCCCACCCTCACTACCATCTTTTGTGTAATATATATATATATATATATATATATATTGTTGTATGTTTAAGTCAAGAAGTCTACGTTTTAGTAAAAATAATGTCAGTAATGACATTATTTTGCACTGATGAAGTTCTATGACCGAAAAGTCTGCAAATTTTGTTATCCCGTTTATATTTTTGTTTTGATCCTTATTATCCCAATTTCTTCTCTAAAACAAGTTAAAAAATTATCTTACCGTCACAATGTGTATACATAGTACACGTATTACTAAATGTTCGACTGAGTGAGCTGGTAATTTGATGCAAGTAAGATTTATTAACATCCTTATTACATTACAACTGTACGTGAGTGCTTATAATGCTGTAATTAACATTGACAAAGAAATTTCGAGAGAAAATGGAGTCCGAGCAGCTTGTTTTGAAAGGAGATTACGCTGCGTACGCTGCATTGTTTTGAACTTACAAAGATGGCGGCAGGCCCGATAAGCTCCGCCCTTTCGGCTTCAACTTGGTTGGAACTGTTGAGCGGGCGACGCAACGTTAGGGCCTCTCCCTATATAGTTACTCCAAGCTCCGCCCCAACCTCCCACCTCCCCCACCGCACTATTCACTCCTAACACGACCTGGTCGACGCATTGCGGTGACAAGAGGTTTCTGGGTTTTTTTCTTGAGAAAGAAAACATGGTTCCTGAACGCTCAGGAAATAGGATATGAACGATTTGCACGGTACGTTATATAGCGTCGTTCCACGGTGTTTGTTGGTTTGTATGTTCTTTTTTCTGTAAGCTCCGGGTTTGTTTGTTTGTTTGTTTGATGTTGTTGTTGGTTGTTGTTGTTTTTTTTTTTGGGGGGGGGGGGGGGGGGTTGTTTTGGGTTTTTTAAAATAGTTCTAGAAATGTGTTTTTCTTTCGCTCATAAGCTAGATCTAGATCTAGATCGGATAGTCTCATCCTGTTTTCCATATTTTCATCACTGAGTCAATTTGATCGCGGTGTTCGAGTTCATCTAATAAACACAGTGGTGAATTTCGTAAATTTTGTGAATGTTTTTTTAATACAATTTTAATGTACTTGCATTTAAGGATATGCTTTTCAACGATCGGATGAGAATTAGACTTTTCCTAGCGATGAAAAATGAAGGCATATTTAATGACGATCCATGAGCCGTAATGATATTGTTGGCACCGTTTTTATTATCTATTATTAACACTATTGGATTTTTTTAAAACTATTATTTTACGACAAACAGTACGTTTATTTGATTCGATTCAGTTAATTGTTTATCGGATCAGCGTCTTTGGCGTTGTGGTTTTGAAGCTTCGCCGCCGCACATTGCAAAGCCGGCATTAAGAGTAGTATACGAGGTCGGTCTTTATGCTGGAATGAGACGTTGTAGATCTATCTATCCCTCTCCCAGAGTTGACCCTGACAGGCAGGCTCGAAGCCCGCTTCCTAACTCATCTAGCTTGTTGGAAGGGGGGGGGGGGGGCAGTAAAACACAAAAAACAACTTGAGATTTAGATCTAGTACTAGATATATCTAGATTCTAGTATTATAAATTACTGTTGAAATTTCTGTGTGATAAAATGAACTGCAAGGTAAGATTATTTTGACGAAGCCTTTTCATCCGGATATACATGTATTATCGTGTTTGCTAAGAATTTAACGTTAGTAGCTTCTGAGAGCATTTGAATTTAGCAAAAGTCCACTGCTTACGTAATGGTAATGTAGTAACCACCGTGTTAATCTTGATATAGTGTGACAAAATCGTCGGATTGAGGGATTTAAAAACATGATCGTAGCCAAATGTGGCATTGTACCTGAGCTCTTTGGGTGAATATAGAGATCTTCCTAAAAAAAAAACCCACACCTTTAAAACGTATAATCAGACCGATCTGATTTAACTTAATCTAACGTTTCTCGGTTTCACTAGCTGCTTTTAATGCGTTCACTTTTAAGCTCTCTCGGTAGATATCACTTTGGCAGTGTACTTGGAGATTCTCGGGTTTCCATTCGCATGATCGACTATATAGGTCACCATATGTGTTTAGCATACATGTGTGCGTGTTATGTATTCGTGAGTGTGTATGCGTGTGTTTGTGTGTGTGTATATGTATATGTGTGTGTGTGTTTGTGTGTATATGAGTGTGTGTGTGTGTGAGTGTGTGTGTGTGTGTGTGTCGCGTGCATTAATATTTTTCTTACATGCATTTATGTAAAGCGCCTAGAGCTGTGTTTACACGGGAGTGGGCGCTATAGAAATGATCTTCATTATTATTATTATTATTATAAAGAAGGGTGTTTTTATTCATTTGAAAGCATTGTCATTCTTTAAGTTTCGCCAACTATGGAGTGGAAATAATAACGATGATGATGATGAAGACGATGATGAAAATAATAATAATAATAATAATAATAATAATAATAATAATAATAATAATAATAATAATAATAATGATGATGATAATAATAATAATGATAATAGCAATAATAGTATTTTTAATTATAGGGCCTAATTATAATAATGGTAATAATCACAGTAATTACAGTGACGTCCAGAAGAAACTTGACAAGGTAATCACACAATCATTGTGTTAAGCCTTGCATTACCCACTCATGCAGCATATCGATTTTAAGCTCAATAAATTCTGCATCATCTAACACATTGATAGTTCATCTATGTTAAGAGTTAAGACGCGCCGGGATATGGACACTCAAAATTAACCTCTAACTTTAAAAAAAACTGGCTTGGGACAATCAAAGAAACGTACAATCGTCTGCACGGTTGTATTAATTATACACTACAATATTAATAGAATGGACTTTCAATAAATATCCAGTGATTGGAAAATGTTGCCTCTGCAATAAAGAATATTCTTTTACGATAGTTTCAAACAAAACAGAAAACTGAGCAATCACTAACGTATCGCAAAACGTGTATCTAATATTATTAAATGGGCTCATTGTTGTTTATCATTCTAGCATCTGCGTTTGTCGCAACCGCGATTTTTGGCATTTTTAAAATGTATTTTGATATGTTTTAAGATGTTTGTGCGTATCCATTTTCATGCAGATAATATACGTACTCTACACGTACATTACATACTATTTATATTGCTGTCTGTATTTTATTTTTCCCTCTTTGTTGTGTTTTAATTTCTTGGAGTGTTAATTTTTCTAAAAATTGTTCTGATGATTTATTTTTCTTTTTGTGTTTATACAGCGTGATGTCATTTAATTCAATGCTGTTCCTACCCTTTTACTTTAAAAAATCTAAATGTGTTATGTTAGAGCGTGTCTCAACCGAAACCGAATACTGACACTGGCAAGCCCCCATTGAGTGTGATTCCATAATTTACGAGGTGTGTTTCATAATAAAGTTTCCCTGTCATGCTGTTCTCACGTAATTATAAATCGCCTTGTATTTGGTATCAACAGAAAGCTTATTGAAATATCTGGATTTGTGAACAGGCATGTTGTCTTGATGCAGGGTGGCGCCTTCTTCAAGCAAAGCGGATCTTTTTTCCGGGTCGCAGGTCTCAGCTTATCTTTGAGGACGAACCTGTAGTAGTCACCATTGACAGTTACGCCAGGTGTGACTAGCCAGCTCAGTATGATGCCACCCATGTCGTAAAAAACAATGTGCATCACTTTTCTCTCCCCGTGTTTTCTGTGTGCTCTTCATCTTTCATGTCAGACCTCCCACCTTCAACCTCCCTGATCCATTTCCTTACTGTTTGAATTGATGGGACATTATTTATTCCCCATTACTTTGTATAGATCACCATGGGTTTCAACTGCAGACTTGTCGAGAAGAGTTGAACATTTGATCACAACTCAGACATCGTAGCATGACGAGAAGGTTACACCAATGTTTTGCTCAGCCATTTTCCTCGGATATGCTTTGGACAAAGTGCAGGAGTACACCACACTTGATATGTCACAGCTCTGTGACCCGTTCACCAATGCACTTGCAATTTGGCGTTGAGATTTATTAGACATGATATCATGACGTCACAAACTTAAGTAGCTGTTGGTTGAATACTTTGGATTTCATGGAGGAGGGAAACTTTATTCTGAGACAGACCTTGTACATGTCATATCCTGTAGGCCTACTTTTTATTGAATTACACACGTTTAGGGTTAAAACAGCCAATCTTCCGAAAGGGGACACGCGCCCTTATTTTGTTAATTTTTGTGGTTGTTTATCCGTGCTATTCTAACGTTAATTTCAGTCTGTTGTGAAACCTTTATTTTTCACGTTTTTACCCTCTGGGTGACTACAAATGATATTCTGGATGCTTAACACAGAGCACAAGAAATTCTGATGCTTTAGATTGTTACCTCTATCAACATTTTGCTATATACGTCGTCACAGAGAGTTGAAAGCTTGAAAATTAATGGCAACTTTTTTGGCAACTTTTGCCACTTTTTGTGGCAACTTTTGGACAAAAAAGGCAACAAACGCTGATGCTAGATTAGATCTACTGCTTTGGAGCCATTGGATTTGTGTGGAGCACCAACTCTCTGGGCATCGGCTTTATTAAATTTTCGACATGATTATTCGTCATTTCATCCCAAATGTTATAGAAAGTTGCAAATAAAGGATTTAAACAGGGAGCAACGCTGCTTTTCTTTAGCAGCTGTTTCATTGTACATCACATACCTGTAGGATTCATATCGGGGCCAATTACTGGCGACTTCTCCAGCGTTGATATGATTTGTTTTTCCAAGAATTGTCTAGTGAGAATTTAGTGCTTTGCTATGCATGGAGATGTCTACTTGAATGACACCATGACGAAAATACGGGTACAATATGACGTTCCAGAACTTGCGCAATGACGTCCAATAAACAAGGCCATCGGGTGATTCACACGTTGACGGAATTGTTCATTCCATCCCAGACCACCCAAAACAATGGCACTTTCGTGGCCTCCTATTTTCTTCACTGACATAAGATTATGTAAAAGATCTAACAACACAGTCAATGGGCAGAAAAGATTTAGTGCTCTTCACTCTTCACGAAACCAATAGCTCTAAACAAAGACAAAAATAATACTAATGAGAACGTGCAATGTTATTGTTAAGTCCAGGTTTTTCATATTTGTGACTACTCTGTTTTCTAATCTGTTTGAAAATATCATCAGAAGATGCTGTTTATCGCAGACACAATAATATTCTCTTTTCATTTGATATTCATTACATGTCAATTCAACCAATGCCGATGCACCTCAATACACGCGCGAACACACTTTTATGTTTAATTGATTTCGCACATTTTGCCTATCCTGATTTTTTTAAAGGTCAGTTTTGAGTGACCATACCTCGGGCATCTCTTAACATAGATGAACTATGAATGTGTCTGTTGATGCAGAATTTATCTAGCTTTAAATTGGTAGGCTGCATGAGTGGGTAGTGAAAGTTTTTAACACTATGATTGGGTTATTATATTTTAAAGTTTCCTTTGGACGTCACTGTATAATAATTACAATAACTAACTCTAAATCTAGTAAACTTAAAGGTTCGAAAACCGAATACATTTATTTAAAAAGAGAAATAATCTCACTAAAAAAGCAAAGTGCAATCTGGACTTACGAGGAAGAACCAAAGCGCGTCTGGGTCTGACCGTAGCCAATCTCTGTAATGGTTCTTTGCTGTTGCTTAACGCGCTCTGCCACACTTATAGGGGCGTCCTTCTATTGTTCTTGCAAAGTTTTTATACACGCCTCGAAGATAGTGTCGAGCGTTAGTTTCGCATGCTATCGTGTTATTTCGAGCTTCCGCAATTAAGCTTTTGCTGGTATAGAATTACAATGAAGGACCGGAATGCATTGTAATTCACGATGGGCAGTTCACTAGGAGCTCCGAGGTGCAGACTTGTGTGAAACAGGGATGTTTACTGTTGCCATTATCTTTCCAGCTCTTCATAGACTGGAAAATAAAATCAACATCAGACCCCCCCCCCCCAAAAAAAAAAAACAACAACAACAAAAAAAACAAAAACAACCCAACCGTAGAGAAAATAATGGCAACTTATTCATGCAGCCCAAATGGCCCGAACCCACCTTTCTACGTATTGACACTCGTGAATACCCCTCCAGTCCATCCGACAAGCTATAGGTGAGGCAGCGTGGTGGAATCAGGCTCTCGTCAATTTTTGGGCATGTAGAGTTATTGGTATCACCTTAAAGCTTATTCACTCGTCTTTATTTGGATGAAAAAAATATACTTTTATCTTGAATGCAAATCGAGATATATGCGACAGAAGGAGGTGGGGGTCACCTGTTTTCAGAGGTAAAATTAGTGAGAAATTGGCCGCAAAAGATTAGTTATTTCCTTAGCTTAAGAGCCTGTGGTAACTGAAAATTTACATTTTTGTGCCTTTTATCAACGCTTTTCAGAAAAATCCACACAGAAATGAGTTCTTTGATGGGCTTGAAAGGTGTTGAGCCAAAAAACAAAAATTTGATAAAAATTCACAAACCTGCGGAAAAATGCAAGTTTCTTCACTTTGATTATTTTGACGAGAGCCTGATTCCACCCCGCTGCCTTCTGGGTCTGAGGCCTGAAAGTCTGTCTGTCTATACGCGCTTCGTTGACTGAAGGCCACATTTCAATTTTCCAAACCAAACACAAGCTGAACCGGACGACCTCGCTTGTCACACACTCTCTGATGAAGGTCGAGAGATAATCAATCTGGGGTCACGGCCGTGGCCTCACATTCTTTGCAACGGTTGAAGTTTGAAGGTTTTGGGACTTTCGGGTTGTTTTTCTTTCACTGATTGCTTTTGTTTTTGGATTGTACCAAGATTTATTTTGTAAAGTCAGTCTTGTTTGGGTTTACTTCTGGGGGTTTTTTTTGGTTTTTTTATAA